GATAACTAATAAGTTCCAATATCTAAAACCCGAATGAGGAGCAAATCGTAAGAGTAACCTAAAGATGAAGCAATCATATCATGTACTTGCGTACTATTGCGTTTAGATAAAGGAGAGAACTTACGGTGTTGTCTAATATTTCGATAATTACATCTGACATTCCAAACAATTTAAAAGTTACCACCTTTTTAGGTTGAATGAATCGGATCCCGGGTGGTTTATGCGGCGACGACGACGTTACAAATTTCAGTTTACATGTATTTATAGAACGTTGAATTAATTACGTAATGATAGGACTTTTAAAACAAAATTCACACACACGACATTTAAATCACTACATACAGTCACGGGACATGGATCCCGTAACTGTATAACAACGATGATTATCGTTTGTTTAACCCAATTCATCAAAAATGGAATCAAATACTCATGATTGTAGTAAATGTTCTAAATGTCGATGGAATGAATACTGCGATGAGTGTTTAGTTCACAATACTCATGATTGTAATAGATGTACTACATGTCAAATTAATTATCGCTGCGATGACTGTTTTAAATATCACAAACGAATTTATAACGAAGAATTGTCTAGCGGAGATAAAGATATCGACAATCTAATAAAAGAATGCAACAAAATTAATTATAAGTATGAAAATATATTCGAATGGATTCCTTTTGAAAGATTTACCAACATTGAATATCTTGAAAAAGGAGGTATTGGTTCAATTTATAAAGCAAACTGGTTCGATGCAAAATGGGATCATGAAGAAAATAAATTTAAACGAAATGGAGAAAGAAAAGTTGTGTTGAAATCATTACACGATTCAAATCCAAAATTTATATACGAGGTAAATATGAACATTTCTAAAGTGAAAGTTCTTTTTTTAATACAATTAAATTTTTTAAAAATAGATTCAAACTGCTCTTAAATGTTATGGAATAACTAAAAATCCAGTTACAAATGAATGTTTGGTAGTGATGGATTATGCAAAAAATTTTGATGATAAGTATGTGAAAACCTTAAAAATTATTCACTGCCATGAATGTGCTTTGTGTCAGAAGAATAATTACTGCGAAGAATGTTTAGATTATCATTATCAATTTTATAAAGCTGAATGGTCTAGTGGGAAAAAAGATGTCGACTATCTGATAAAAGAATGCATGAAAGTTCAAGGATCCTTCGAATGGATTCCGTCTGAAAGATTCACCAATGTTAAATATCTTGCAGAGGGAGGTTTTGCAACAATCCATGAAGCAACCTGGTTGGATGGACCATTAACAGAATGGGATCATGAAAAAGATAAATGGATACGTTATGGAAGATCAGAAGTTGTGCTTAAATCATTACATGCTTTAAAGAAAATCACAATAGAATTTACTAAAGAGGTAAAAAAAATGAACCATTTTAGCATGAAAGTTTTGTTTTTTAATAAAAATAAATTTTTAAAAAAAATAGATTCAGATTGCTTTAAAGTGCACTGTATCTCGTGGTCCATATGGAATAAAATATTATGGAATTACTAAAAACCCAACTACGGATGAATATTCGATCGTAATGACTCGTGCAATAGGTGGAGATCTTCATAAATATCTTGATTCCAAACGTATAGAAATGAATTGGAACAATATTTTAGAACTATTATGTAATATTATCAGGGACCTGCGCAAAATCCATGATATAGGATTTATGCATCGTGACTTTCATCCTGGAAATATATTATTACATCATATTGCTTTCATTTCAGATTTTGGACTCACAGGCCAAGCAATTATTGAAAAATCTGAACAAGAAATATGCGGAGTACTTCCTTATATGTGTCCAGAGATTCTAAATGGAAAACCCTACACTAAAGCTGCAGATATTTACAGCTTTGGGATGATCATGTACGAGATTGTAACAGATGAAAGACCATTTGGTGAGCGAAGCCATGATATAGATCTCTTAATGGACATCATTAACGGCAAACGACCTACGATATCAAATGAAGTTCCCGGATGGTGCAAATTTATTATTGAAAAATGTTGGGATCCTATTTCAAAAGTCAGACCAACTGCTGAGGAAATTGAAGACTTTATCGGATCTAACTACTATGACAAAAATTGGAAACTGAATTCTTTGCATTCTCGCTATTACGGTTCTCAAACAGATGAAAAAATTAAAGAGAGTATTAAATTAGTAAAGCAGAAGATAAAAGCCACTAAAAATGTTATAAACAAAAAACAAAAAATTCACCCAAATGCAATTTATACCAGTCGAATCTTTACTTCAAAATCAATATCAAATCCAACTGATATTGGTACGTAAGTTTTATTTTATATTCAATTAAAATGAATTTTCAGATTGATTTACTGTAAATATATCAATTATTTAGATTCTACAAGTGTCATCTTTACTTCAAAATTTATACATGAAACAATTCCAAATGATATAGGTACGTAAATTTATTATTATATTCAATCAAATGACTTTTCCGATTGATCTAAATGTATGCATTATTTAGATTCTACAAGTGACAATTTGTATGTTCCAAACGAAGGTAAACTTAAATTTGATATATCTTTATGATTTCTTTTAATTCATTGTATTTTATGATAAAATTGCAGGTTTCGATGATAGTATACCATATGAAATCGTAAAGAACGAGGATGTGTCGAGTGACTTGCAAGAAAAACTACAGATAATCGATCTTAATACGAACAAAAAATGATTTCAACTTGTACTCTTAAACTTGAAGAACGAGCAACATTTAAACCTGTTGCAATAATATCATCCTCTTCAACTATAACTAATACTTCTGAAAATATTCAATATACCAGAAGGAAAAATACAAAAAAAATGTTAACTCAGATGAAAATAGTTTTTCTTTGGATGAACAACACATTACCAAGAAAAAAAATTATCCAATATTAATAAATGTATATGCATAATAAAAGAAACTTTTTGCACGTAAATTGAACGAGATCTTGAAAGAAAAGAAGAAAAAAGAAGAAACGAAATAACAAAGCTGATAGAAAAACAGGATGAAGAACGAACGAAAACTATAACAGGAATAATTATATTTTATTTTTATTTATATTTTATTAATATAAATTTAATTTTTTGAAGCAATCACTTCAAACATCACTTTTTATCTTTGCCTCCTCCTCCTGTAAATACTCAATTAATTTCTTGATATTATGTACCTTTTCAATCATATTCTTCTGTTTTTGATATTCCTTCTGAGTTTCCTTCAAAATTTATTGATCCAATTTTAAAAAAATTAAAATTAAATTATAATTTTTTTCTTTAAAATTTTAATACTTATCATATCTTTTATTCAATTTAAAATGGTCTTTAGTTATAATTTTTTTATTTTTATATTGATATGAATCACGTGCTATAAAATCTTTCATCATCACGACTTTCACAAATATACAACAAGGAGATACTATACTTGGTATGATTTTGTTTCATTTGGTGTATGTAAAATTCTCCAATTGATTCAAGAATACCAAAGCTAATTCAATTCTATTACGAGTTGCTGAATGCACATAATTATAATATTGCCATTATCATGATATAATACAAGCTAATCAGTATAATCACTATCACTAAGTATGTATATATGATCCTGGTGATGTTACAGAATTGATAAAAAGAGGAATGGTGTAAAACTCAAGTAGCACCTACCCAATCACAATAAATATCAAAGAATTAAAATAATCAATTACATCTTTGGATAGAGCTTTAATTAGGATATCTCCATTTTTTGCTTCAATAACTCGTGAAAATTTTTATTGCTGAAAAACCCTGGATTATAATTTCAAATCCATTTATTAGTTTGGGAAATACTTTTTAAAAATATTATTAATTAATAATATTTTATTTAAAACTTAATTTTAAATATAACATTGACTTAATTTCATTTTCTGGAAAGTTTTTATTAATCATTCCAATAAAGTTATTGATGCATAATGAAAGATTGATTCTGCCATACCACATAATTCTGATATAGTACGCACCATTACCAAGCCATCAAATTGTCGCAGAGAATCTTTGCTCTAAAGGTAATCCATGTAAAGATGTTTCTGTTTCTGAATCATTCATATAAGGAAAGGGTGAATTAAATAACCGCACAAATGTTGATTTTTATTAATCGATAATGTCTTTTAAATCTGACTATTTCAAACTCATAAAAATTCATTCCGTACTTTGTATAATTTTTTGATGTTGTTTTTTGATTTTACTTATTTCTTGCGCGGTTTCTAAAACCTTAATTATATTTGCAATAATATCGAGAGTATCTTCTTCAGATTCTTCTGACGAGGGAGAAGAAGAGCTTGAAGATGAAGATGATTCATTCCATGATTGAATAAGTGCAAGTATTGTCGTGATATTATTATCGTTATTAATATGTTATTAATATTATTTTATGCTTCATTATCCATTTTTACAAATTTAGATACTTGGCAATATTATCATAAAATCATGTGAAGAAGGATAGCGTCAAACCGAAGCTATCTAAGATTGATCGAAATCAATTCCAAAACCTCTATGTGGAGACACCCATTATTATTGCTTTATTATTATGGGGACCACATACCAAAGGCATGTATTAAATATGTGTTTCATTTAATTATACACGTGATTATATAAGTGTTAATGATTCACAATCGTATAAAGATATGTGACATTTAATTGAATACTCAACGATAAAAAGGGTTTTTGAATTATTTAGGAATTCTCACAAAAAGGAGCTTTGCTATGCTTCGAAACAAAGAATTGATTAATTAACAAAGTCTAACTATAATAAAAGGTGAATGTTATTATAAATGTTTCTATGCTTAAAGAAATAACGTATGATGCGAATGTTTAATAATTCACGTTCCTTGAGGTTGTGAAATAATAATTTTGTACTAACATTATTAGGGACGGCAGTGCTGATGTTGACATCACAAGGTAAGAATTTCGTATGGATTGTTGAAGCATGCATGCTATGTACATGTAGTTGGAATTTCCGTAGTACATGTATTTAATTTGTGCGGGATCTGGTTCAAACATTGCTATCAGGTATACCAAATCGGGAACTATGCATTATTCTAAGTAATGCCGGGATTACGCTATGGCAACAGTATTCCATAAAATAGGTTTATCCTTATATGGTTTCATTGTCTAATTTCATCAATAAAGCTTGCCTCTTTAATACGCAAATTAAAATGACACGTGTAATTTGGCTAAGCTGATATTGTGCTATACAAATATCAATATTTGTTTACAAATTTTATTTTAATTCTATGTAATACACGTACTTATTCAAAGTCGCGGACTAAGGTGATTTTTAACAAGCCGTAATTTGAGGCACAACAATCTTATTTCATATACATGTATTAATAATACGGATGGACAAGTTCAATAGAAAAGTGTAAATAAAACTTAATACGGAAACATGTGCAATTTGCGCTGTTTCTATTGAACCCAGTCCGTATTACATATGTTAAAATATCAAAGAAATTCTTTATAAAAAATTAAATGGTCAAAGAAAATTAAATCACCACAAATAACAAAATGTTAGCCAAAGCACACAAATTATTTTGTTTTGATCTTTAATTATATTGAAAAATTTAATAATATGATGGCTTGCTAAAACTTATTTTAAATCGATGATAATGAACCTAAAATTACTTTCCACATGAACAAAATAAATTTGCTTAATATTATCTAATATGATTTGTTATTACAAAATGTAGACATTTAGAAAATACAAGATCATAATTATGAGAATTAAATACATCTCTAATTTTAAAAATGCTTGAATAATCAACCTTAATTTGTATCAATATACTGGAAATTTACCTCATTTTAACTATATACTATTTGCTTCGTCAAATTCCAGAAACCAATATACCAACACACATTTCAACCATATAAATCCATCAGCAACAGCAAGTGAAGTAGTTAGAAAAAAACATTGATTTGTCTTTTGGCATTCCTCATCTATTAATATCCAAATTAAAAATGGTAACAATAATATTGAATTCAACAGCGAATATATATCAATCGGAGTACGAAATTTATTTTTTTGAAGCAATTGCATAAAATCTTCCTTCCCTTTGCAATTAAAAATTTATGGTTAAATAATATTGAATTATGGAAACTCTAAACTTTATTATAATTCATCATTTCTTACCTAACATTAATAACAAAGAGAATCCTAAATCAAAAAAGATATCATGGTGCTCCCATATTATTGAAAAAGCTCCTAACGTAAGTCTTGTTCCTAAATCGAATGCAAGATAAAATCCCAAAAAAATTTTTGGTATCATCTTTATTTTTTGAGAATTTAGAAATTGGATGATAATTAAAATTAGACAAAGCAAAACAATTGATGCATTATTATTTTACCGGGATTAAAAAAGCTTCGCATAATAATTTTACGATGCCAGATATTAAATAAAATGAGATAAAAGCTGATATTAGAAAATAAAGGTTTATAAAGTGCGCGAAAATTTTATTCGGTGGTGGAGATACATTTCTTGGTGGATCTCGTATTGAATGATGAAAGTCTGCTATTCCTATTGCCAAGTCTTCTAGCGAACTAAAATAAGAATCAATTGAGTATTGAAAATAAAATAAGAGTCGTTTTTATGATCCACTACCTTTTAGATACTGGCTGGTTTTCAATTTTAATATTAATATCAACGTTATTCGAATCCATTATTGTTGAATCTGAAGAATTCTATCTGCACAATTTATAATATTACGAGTACATTTAATGATCAGCATGTTGTTACATGCGTACATGTCCATGTCTGCGTGCGTACAATTAAAAATAGATCCCATAGTTGTATTCCGAGTAAATGGTTCAAATTTTAAATTAAAAATAAAGCTTTTTATTGGTTATGAAAGGACAGGAATTGTTATCCACAATATACGTGATTTGCCCTCATTCTTTCGTTATCAGTCTCGGAATTGGCGCTAAGAGATTTGCAAAATACATGTACGCAACAATGCATTTAATTTTCGGTGGTAGACTTTGTAGTCATGCAATGATCCTTGAGATTTATTATTTCAAATCAATTAATCTTTTTATGCTTGCTGTTTTCTATAAACCGCAAAATTCTTTTTGATGAAGACTAAATTTTTTGAATTTAAATTAAACCTCTAAAAGAACCTGAATCTTATTGATTTGTGTTAACCGACTTTCTTAATTTGATGAAGTTTTTTTGACCTGATCGAACAGACCTGTGTATCTAAAGTACAGGTAAAAATAGGTATGGAAATTGGTGCGTGTGTATGGTTACATCGCAACCTGAAACCGATAAGAGTATACATGTATGTGCTAGCTTTTGTAGGCTTTATGCGGTCGATAACTATACATGTATACGAGTTCTTTAAATTTATATCCAAAATTAAATTCTGAGTATTTTCTCTTGGCCACTCAGCTTGGATTTACTAAATGAAAACTCGAGTGTGACAATTTGTTTTTTTGGCACAAAAAATTTGAAATTGGATCGGCGATCTAAAAATGATTGGTTAACCAAAGATTTCAAGGTACCTTTAGTTTAAATATAGTGTTACACCCAATTAAAAAGTTAGAATTGAGTATGTAAGATATGTAACAAATGTTGGAGGCTAGACTGAATGATTTATACAGAAATAAATCGATATTGTTCAAAAATAACAACTAATTATTAATTAACTTTAATTCGAATAACAAAATAATATAAAGATTTACTAGCAAAACTCAAATGAAATTTAATCCAAACCAAAAATAGATTTATTTCAAAACAATAAGAGAAATTGCAAAATTATAATAAAATTTTTTTGTTAAAAGAAAGTCTTTAATTTTGTTAAGTACAAAAGAATAAAGCTATCAATTTTGCTATAATACAAAAGAAATGAAAGCTGAGTTCAGTTAGATAAAAATTAAAATAATTTTATTATTAAGTTATTTTTTTAAATCACACATTGGCTCAGATTAAAAATAATATCTCAACTATGGAAAGTATTATTATATAATTATTTATAAATTTCGAGTTATAATATAGTGACAAATAAAGAGTTATTAGTTAATATATCATCTTTTTGAGATATTCTTTATACAAATTTATAATTCAAAAGTTTCCATTATCTTAATATAAATATTAGATTTATACTTATTTTAAATAATTTTCTAATTTAATAAAAATATTTATTGATTCAGTTTAATAATATTAAAACTTTTTTTCAACATAATATTAAATATTTATTATTTAAAAAGACAAATAATAGAAGTTTTTTGAGATTATATAAATATTTTTCTATTTTCAAAAATTTATAATTACCTGAAAATAACTATAGAATAATAATTTAATATAATATTAATTAATTAAATATAATAATATAATATAATATATAAATTAAAAAATTCAAACTCAATATATTTGTTATTAATATAAAAATGTATTATTCTTAAGATTTTCACAAATAATAACTCAAAATCATGAAATTTTAGAAATTTCCTGAAAATTTTCTTAGAATTATAAATTTTGATAATATAATTAATACTTGAAATTATATAATAAAAATATTAAATTGAAACTTTAAATAATAAAAATTAATAATTAATAAGAAATTTAAAAAATAATTTTAAGAAAATATATTTTAAGATATATAAAATATCTATACTTTAAAAAATTTTAATTTTTTATTTATAAATATTAATTAAAATTTATTTTGATATAATAAAATTCAAATTAAATTAAAAAATTTATTAAAATAAAATATATTTTGACTAATATTATTAAATAAAATATAATTAAATTTTTTAAGATATAAAATTATTTTAAATTATTTAATAATTTTTTTTAAATAATTTATTTATTATCATATTTTAAAGTTTTAATTTGACAGATTTAATATAAACTTCAAGAAATAATATTATATTATCAAAATTTTTTAATAATATAAAGAATTTTCTAAATTTTTTATAATTTTAAGATAATATTTTTTAAAAAAGTTCTGTTATATTTTATACTAGCTATATATAATTTATTATAACTAGAAAATTAAATAAAAATAATCATATAAAATTTGAATTACTAAATATTGAGATATTATATATAATATATCAAGATTTTGTATAAATAAATTAAGAAAAATATTTATAATATAGAAAATATTATTATAAATCTTAAACTTTTATAGTTAAATATAATTATTAATCAAATTAAGTATTATTTTATAAGTTTTATAAGCTAAGTAATTATCTTTAAATATTTTTAATAATATAATTTATTTTATTAATTATAATTATAAGATTTTTATATTACTGAATTAATTATAAGATTTAATTATATAATATTTATATATTTAACTTTTTTTATTATATTAATTAAAACTTCTTTAATTATAGTCTTTAATTAAATAAATAAATAAATATTAACTAAAACTAAAATAAATTTGTAAAGATAAAAGCTTAAAAAATAAATCTAAAACTAGTATCAAAATAAATCTAAAAGTAAAATTAAATTTAAATTAAAAATTCAAAAGTCAATAAATTATTTAATATATATTACTAAGTATATTTTAAAATATTTATTAAATTTTGAATATTCAATACATTTAGAATTATTATTTAAATTATTTTAAAGTTTCACTTAAATAAATTATTAATAATTTATTTAATCTTATCAGTTTTGCAATAGTTTAAGCAATTATAAAAAAGTATAATTAGTAAATATTAAATAGTATACTAAATTAGAATTTTGAATTAATAAATTAGAATTATATTATAAAGATTTATAAAGTGAAGAATAAAAGCTATTTATTTATTAATTTGATAAAATTAATAATTATATTTATAAGAGATTAATATAATTTACCTTTTTATATATTTTAGAATTGATCAGAAATATATATTTTTTAAAAAGTTTCCAAAGATTCAAGAATGATTATAAATATTCTTCTATACTAAATAGATATTTTAAGTTTGCAAGAAATTGTTTATAATCATTATAAGTTCACTATTGCTCGTGAAATTTTTATGTTAACACTTCAAATTTGAACAAGAAATGCATCTCTCTTTTATTTATATGTACATATCATACTGAGATGTGCAAATTTTGATTTTTTTTATGATGATCAATCTTTTTATTATTACATGTACCGCGTAGTCAAGTGATATTTCATAACCAATCATATACGAATGTGATTACTATAAGATTTTTTTGGATCGCAACATCAAAGTTTATATGAAAATTATCGAAAAAAATACTTCTGAACCCTATTCTGTGGGGATACTAAAATATAAGCCTATTTCAAATTTTCTGTGTTTCATTCTGTACCTTGTATATTTCTTTTTACAAAGTTTGAAGGATAGTTAAAAACAACGTTTAAATAATCTTGATCTCAAAGGTGATGCTTCTCTAAATAAGTTGTGTTATAAAACAAATCATAGTTGAAATTTAGCTTATTAAAAAGTTTAAAAAATTCATAATTTTGTCATATACAAAGTCTAGAGTGATATAGCATATGTTAAAATAGATAAATATACTTGTTCAGTTATGTATTGCATCTGCACATAATTGATGACCATGAACAAGTATTTTGCATTTGAGTTATAAAAAAATATAATGATGCTAAGTATAATTGATAATTAAATACAACAACAGTATTTGTGCAGATGTCTTTAAATTATATATAAACTGTGAATTAGCTCAAAAATTAATCGGTTCAAGTAAATAAAAATTGTGAAATCTTTTTCAGAAATTCTCAACCAACTTCCTTTAGAAATTAATGATATTCTTTATTACTATTATACCGTTGATGATAGCTTAGAATCTATACTATCATATGATCAGGAAAGATTAATAACTATTGCTAATCTTAATGATCGGGAAAAATCTTGAATTCAATTTTGAACTGAGCTTAAACTTGAGTTCGACTCAAAAACTGAATTTAATAATATTAATTTTGCAAGTGAAACGATATTGTCTATTGCTAGAGTAGAAATCTATGACGATAATCAATATTTTGGGCGCGCAAGGTAAGAATTTTAAATACTTCTTACTTTTAGAACGGTGTTAATGTTGATACTACATTTAAAGGAATTTCTGGATTTATGTGTGAGTATTACTAAATAATTATTTTAAGATTTCGTTATGCATTACTTACAGGAGCAAAAACCACGAAATTCAGCGACATTCCACGAATATTTTTGATCATGAAATTTTTCGTTGCGACAACAACATCATAATTCCCTTAAGAATTTCGGGTCTTCATGTCAGTGTAATCAGTTCATTTCACTGATCACTGATCATACTTTAATTTGGGGGAAAAACATTGCGAAAAATATGTTTATATAATTTATAATGAACCAGATAAGTATTGAATATTATTACTATTGACAAAGAGATAGTTACTTTGCAGGTATAAGCAGGTTTTTAGCAATGTTATGATGTGTATAAATTATAACACGCCTCATTAAATTGCGGATGCCACCTCATTGTTAACACTACCTACTTTACCATCGCCAATAGCCGCCTTTTCGACCTTATCCTTATCCTCAGTCACATAGTTAGTTTCTTTAACATTCAACGCGACAAACATCGCCCCAGGAATCGAGATAATTAGTAAAATCCAGCAAGTAAGAAGTTGAGGAAGGAATGCGGTGCCAACTGCATCAATTCTCCAGGATATTGCCCCACCAGCTGATTGGATTGCTTTGTAAAATCTAAATGATTATTTGAGATGAATGAAGGAACTTAACATTTAAGCAAACAACGGTCTGCACATTTTGCCAAAGTAGTGACTTGAAAACCAGAAATTGATCTGATCAAATTTTTCGGTCAATATTTACCCATTATAACGTGAAAGTAGTGCTGTGTCGTTTGTTAATGCGCCCATTATCCAATATGCGTACAACTACAATATAATTATTATGAGGGTATCTGTACAAACTTTAATTATTAAATCTCAAAATCAAAACACGCATACCTGATACATTGCATCATTCAATCCATAAGCAATATAAAGAATACATTTTCCTGCATACCCACGATCAAACAAATCCATTGGCGTAACCACATCACTTCGTTTGTATGAAATTTGGAAAATCAGTCCGCCAACCCAAGTAGCCATTATAGTGAAAAAAAGAATCAATAGGCCAAAGATTGCACGTTTCTGTCTACCGAAAAGTGGGGTGTCTAAAAATTTTCCAAAGATTAATGCGCCAAATATTTGCGCGGTCCAATACAAGACATCGTTTAATGCACGTGTTCGTATGTTGAAATAGAATGCATTCACATCGTCAAACTGCCGAATATTATGGTTTTTGTTAATATTTTCATGCTTGTAGAAAAACAGAATCTCGAATTACCTGATACGCGTAAAACCAATTACTCGCTAAGAACATTGGAATCAAACAAATCATTCGCAAATCAAGAAATAATTTCCCAATCTCGATTGATTCAGAGGTCCATGAAGGGAATCTTTCAACTGCTACGGGACGTCCATCTTTATGAATTACTTTACTTGGGGGTAACAATGCCAATGCAAAAAGTGAACCTAAACTCATCAACACCAAGAATCCTATATATGTGCCATCGTTTACTGATCCCTCTTTCGAATTCCAATTCAATACTAATGGAACTATTGATCCGAGTACCCCACCTTTTGAAAAAATCGAGAAAAATTTTGTATCAAAATTCTGATAAATGAATATTCATTTCAAAACATCAATAATTACCTAAATTAAATATTCCAAAAAAGATTCCAATATATTTTCCTTTATTTTTCTCGGAGGGATAAGACGTCACAATAGCACCTTCACCGGTCCAAATTAATGCAGCGCCTATTCATTCAAATGAGAGGATTATTCATATATTACTTATAATAAACAATAATAATTTTTATATACATTACCAAAGCCAAGTAAAGCACCAGCAGCAACGACAAATGCGTCATTCTTATTATGATTATAGTTCAGTAAAGAACCAGCATATAAAGCATAAGTAGTTCCACCTATTGCCATCGCATATTTCGGTCCTATTATGTTAACAATCCCTCCGGCCACTAGACCTCCTACTGAGAATGTTGTGTATAATGCCACATTTGCATTTGATGCCATTTTTGTATCTAATTGTCCACCTCCACCCATACCTATTTATTTTATAATTTAAGTAATGTAGATAATGCGGTATGAAAGTTTGGCTGTAGGTTTATTTGTGCTTACCATTCAAAGCATTAAACATCCCCGATGTGAGTAATAATACAATCCCTATTGAATAATTCGTCTATTTAGTTTCAAATATGCTAACTAACACTAAAATTTTAGACCAAGTAAGACGAACTTACCAACAAGAATCACCTGCAATAGTGGTCTCGAATATAGTCCTGTCATTATTCTTGGTCAAGATTTGAATTCGTTAATTTTTACTGAGTCGTTTTCTTTTTTTTTAACAGGTTATACGTACGCATCATGTTAAAGGCCAAGTTTATAACAGTAATAAAATAAAGTTTAGGTGCATATCGATATATATCTGTTTCATTCTGTTTGTTTGTGAAATTTGTACTATGAACCCATTAAGAGTAAATCCGTCAAAATGGTGAATTACTTATTTCAAGACTTATATGAAGTTTTCATCATGTAATCAGATAGATTTCTTAATTCGTACTTGTTATTTTTACAATTTTCCTTATTTTCTGTCATGTACAGTAATTCACGCATTAGGACATCTCAAATTCGTCCAAACACCTTATCCTTTACAAGATTTAACATTCTCAATTTTACTTAATTGTACTTTTTGCTCTTTATCCTCTTCAATCACAGTGTTTCATACATTTGAATATAAAGATTTTAGCATTTCCGATGAGAACTTGATGACATTTTTCGATTCATGTCTACATATATTCATCAATTGGTTTACTAGTAAAGGGCGGAATATCCGTTGGCAAATGATAATTTTTGCTGTTAACTTTTAACTACTTGGTGTGTAGGAATTTTTCGAGCTTTCTGACTATTTGGACAGAGTTTAGTTATTTGTCACCTGAAAACACTAACTATTTAAAGTTAGAACTATCAATTAATTTTGTAAAAAAAGAAATTGGATTCTAGTTCACAAATCCATTTAAGTCGAATAATCGATGTATTATTTGATTCAACAACCATATACAGGAATTCAGGAGATAATCTCCATTTAACCGTTTATTAAAGTTTGCTCTGGTCTGGTTAATCTGAAATTTAAGTTTCATATATTTGATACAATCAATAAAATTAGATTTTTGGTCTATATTTGTTCTAGAATGTCCAATTTACTGCATTTGCAGAAAGTTGGACACCGTAATTTGAATGTGCTAAAACTGAAATCCAAATGTGTCGTGTAGTAAAGTTTTAGTATCCAGAAAATATTTCTCTAGAATTTAG